CAATCGAATCAAATGAAAATATAATTGAGACAATTAGGAGTACAATTAAATCAATTAGGAAATTTAAAACCTAAATTATACTTTATAGGGACTCAATTGATAAAATTACAATTCACATGGATTGAAATTATATAACAAAGGATGTGATTGTAAATAATTAAAATTTGCGAGGACCAAATTAAAATTTAAAAGCGAACAACAAGATCAAATTCAAGCAAACGACCTATAGTTCGCTCTAACCCAAAATCTGTTCCTAGGTTTGTTCCTCAACTTTTCCCCTAATGATAAATCCTCTCCAAATTTTGTCTAGTTCATTCGTTCCTCGTGATTGTTAATGGACAATTGTACCGACTCAAGAATCGAGTCGTCTACACCATAACAAACCCATCTCTACATCCCTCACCACACTATATAATAATGTAGCCCCGCACACACACAAAATCTTTTTTTTTGTTCACATAATGCCAAAACCTAATACTAGTGTTTGGCTTTAGCAGATTGGCAATCCAAGATAAAGAGATTGATCCAAGGGTAAAGAAATGGGCAAGGTTTGGCTATCAATTAGGGGAAACAGAAATGGAGAAGAGGAAAGAAAGGGAATTTAGGAAGAAAAATTTTAGAGAAATTTGAGAGAAGGAATTGTGAGAGAAGTGAGAGGAGAATTTCGAGAAAGCTTAAGAGCTTGAAAGCCTTTCCGGGTTTCAAAGGAATTTTTGGGTTCAAAGGATTTTCTAGGTTCAAGGGAGTTTTTGGGTTTCGTGCTTGGACAAAGAACAAATAGGGGAGAGTAAAAGACCACTCCCCTTCCTTCCTCCCCCATCGCTAGTGTTCTATCTTCGATCGAGCCACTCGGGTAAACTTAATACTTCCCCCTTTGTTATTTAATTCAAGCCACCACCCTTTTTTTGGCATTAGTTCGATCAAGAACCGAGTAATGGCAGTGATTGTCATCACGTAAGATACAACCTCATGTTCTTTATATTTGAGAAGAGCCAACCAAAGGGAGAGAGAAGGAAAGTTTTTAGGTTTTCTAGGTAATTGCGATAAAGCATGAATGAGAGATGAATGAGAGAGAGATGAAGGAATCGAGGGGGGTCGATTCTAATGGTGAAGTAAAAATTGGTTTTGTATTAGAATATTGAATTCATATTTTACATTAACTCGGTTGTTGTACTTCTACATAAGAGATGCGAAATGCAAGAGATAAAGTAAGGATTGTTACTACAATATTGGATGGAGATAAAGTAGGAACCGTTATAACAATATTGGATCCGTTCTAGAGTTTGTTATTCCTTAGACTTATCCTTTACACGCCCTCGCAAGATTAAGTAAAGTGTGGTATTGTAATTATGGTGTCCAAGTATGTGAAATTGAAAGACTTTTACCAGTACTCCAAAAATATCTCATCTAGACCCCAGTAGGATTGTAAAGCCGATAGATTTGATGTCATGTGATGTGATGCCCCACTATCAATTAACCAAGGTTGTTGCATAAGGGTAGAACTCATGGACATGGTAAGCATTGGCCATTGGACTCGGATTTGCATTGAGATTTTGATAGTTTGTTCATAGAGATATTGTTTTGTTTCAAAAACTTAGCAAACTTCCCGCATTCACGTGTATCATGGCAATGAACTCATAAAAATGACAAAATAAATCGTTCGATGGGATCGGTTGCCACTCGATTTTCCTAGGAGGAGCAACGAAGAATGATTTAGACCATAGCCACCATGAGATTTTTGATAGTTTGAGATATGCCTTTATGCACGATTTTGAGTTTCTTGATATGACTTCTAGATCGCTTGGACCTTAGGATTGTATTTTTTTAGTCACATTTTCTATGGTAAGAATATAGAGGTATACCATATCATTTTCTTTTAGCATTCTTTGAAATATGTTAATTTATCAAATAGTTCCAAATAGGAAATTGGAGATTCACAAACTTTGATGGTCGTGACAATGGTATTGAACTCATCACCTAATGAGATGATAATATGAACGATGAGATCCTCTTCACAGATTGGATTTTGAGCAAGAGCCAAGTCATTTGTAATGGATCGCATTTCATGAAGAAATTCAACAATTGATTTGGTACCCTTTGGATTCTTAGCTAGCTTAGCTTTGAGGGAGATAATTCTAGATCTTGAAGAATTTATATAGCTAAGAGTGAGCCGATCCCGAGCTTCTTTGGAGGTTTCAATTGAGGAGATGATTGGTAGAATAGTCTCGAAACAACTGCCAAGGATTGTGTCGATAAGAATTTGATCATGTCTATACTAGATATTATGGATTGGATTGGTCTTTTTTTCTCTCATTTTTGAGAAACTCGTGATGGTGTAGGTAAAGTACCATCGATATATTCTAATAGATCGAGTCCAATGGGAGCCGATTGTATTTGTTTCCTCTAAACCGGAAAGTTAGAGCGATTGAGTTTGATGGAAAAATGAGTTAGTGCTTTTAATTACACAATAGGTGTTTCAAGTAGTGATTGTCATGGCTCGGTTAGAGATGAGGATTGAAGAAAACTCGTTAGAGTTTTTAATGCTACGATACCATATTAGAATATTGAATTCATATTTTACATTAACTCGGTTGTTGTACTTATACATAAGAGATGCGAAATGTAGGAGATAAGGTAGGGACTCGTTACAACAATATTGGATTGAGATAAAGTAGGGACTCTTATAATAATATTAGATCTGTTCTAGAGTTTATTAGTCCTCGCATGTATCCTTTACGGTTTAAAAGGAGGAGTTTGTCTTCGATCTCAATAGAGGTTTGTCGTTGTGAAAAAGAAAATAGATGAAGGAGGAGGTTTCTTCGGTTTTCTAATTGCTAAAGAGAAGAGGGGAGAAACATGAGAGAGAAAGGAAAGTTAGTGTTTGATTGGGATAAGGGGAAGGGAAAGAATAAAATGTTGTTTGTGGATTTAGGCTTTATCTATGGGGAGAAAAAGAATTATGGGTCGGGCTTGGCCCAACCCAAGGTCTGGGCTAGCCTCAACCTAGCCTAAGCTCGCACAAAAAAAAAGAATGGATGGATAACCCAATAGGTCGAGGGCCCACCGACCCAAGAAAGCTCAATGTTTTAATTTCACATTTTTTAAGATAATTTGACCCCGAATATCTTTTGTTTATGCGTTTTTATTTCCTTCTTAATCTAGATTTAATATTTTGGATCTCCCGGAATTTATTTAGTTAATTTTAATTTTAGAATTTTTGTTTTGATTATTAGTTTAGGTAATTAATAGATGGATAAATTATTGAGTTTTCTAATTTTTAGGGACCGATGCCGATTCTTCACCAACAAAAAAGCAAAAAATAAAAACAAGAATAAAAAATGATGAACAAAAAAAGAAAGGAATGTTAGTTAATTTTAATTTTAGAATTTTATCCCAATAATTAGTTTAGGTAATTAATAGGTAGACAAATTGTCAAGTCTCCTAATTTTAAGGGACCGATGACGATTCCCACCAATAAATAAATAAATAAATAAAAGAGAGAGAAGGAAAAAGAGAGAAGGGAAAAAATAAAAATAAAAAAGACAAAGAGAAATGTTTAAGTAAGAAAAAAAAGAAAAATGCTAAGAAAAATTAACAATATCTCCTTTTTTATAGAGATTATTGTTAGCAAAAAAATTTAATTAAAATCAAAATTCTTATCAAAGTCTCTTATATGATAGGGACTGTTTGTAACAAATAAAACAAAAAAAAATCAAAATTCTTAACAATTTCTCCTATCTCATAGGAATTTTTGTTAACAAAAAAAATTAAAAATAAAATTCTTAACAAAGTCTCTTATCCGATAAGGATTATTGTTAGTTAAAAAAAATCATCATTATTTTAATAATCAAGACGTTCTCAAATACACATGTTATATTGAGACTTAAAGTGGATCCGATGTTTAAATTGACGTGACTCTCGACGAATGGGTCCGACAATTAGTTTAATACGATACCATGATAAAAAATAAAAAACTTAAGTTGGCTTTAAAAAATAGAGTTCAATCGGAAATAATTTGACATAAATAAAATATTTTATTTATGAGATGAATTTTAGGACTAAGTTAGATGTGGTATCTTTCTTAAGAAATAATGTTTTTGGGTGATTGATATCTTTCTAAAAGCGTAATTAATTCTTTACTTTAAAATCTCTAGAGTAGTACGATTTTAATTTTTTAGTTTCTATAATATTAGGTGACGAATTTCAAATTTAATAATAACTCATATTCCAAAAAATCATGAATAATTCAAATGATACATCTTTTACAAAACTTTAAATTTTTTCGAGAGTTTAGTGAGATGTCGGATAACGATAATATATAAAAACATAAAGTATCAAAATAACATAGTCATCTGGTTAATTAGATTAATTAGCTGATCAGATCAATTACTCAGCTTTGGCAAATAGTGTTCAAAAAATAGTTTGGTCAACGAAAACCAAAGGCTGAATTCATGAACACATGCAAACAAACAACTGCTGATAGGTTGGTATTTTTTTCTTCTGATCCTAACCCATTAAATCACGCCAAGGGAAAATTCAGTTGATAGTACGTATACCGCCTACAAACTTTGCCCAGATTCTCATTTTGAACACTCAAAACAGTCCACGGTTTTAGGACGGGCATTTTCTCTTTTTGCCCCACCACTTATTTTTGCCCTTTCAATGGTGGATCCATCATTATTTTGCCCACTAGTTTTGTGACAACTGGCTCTACTTGATTCCTCCTAGAAGAAAATTCTTGCCAATGTGTTTTATGTGTTTTGGCTTTGACCATGACAATGCCAAATAAGAAAAGTATGACTGGCAAAACAAATAAGGAAAAAATAGCATTAATTTTTTTCTTTCTAGAATTGTCAATATTATTACTTTCAAACCTTATTATTAAATATGCTGGGTCAATTCTCTTACGGCAACTTAAAGAACAAAATAATTCTCTCCAGTTGTTCAAAATACTCCCAAAAACTTGTTCAGCCCCATTGTTTGTTTCATGGTTGTAGATCATGGATGAAATAGAGATTCCTGAATATTTTCTATGCCCCATTTCATTAGAAATCCTGAAAGATCCTGTTACAACAATAACAGGCATCACATACGAGCGAGAAAGTATAGAGCACTGGTTGAAGACAGCCAAAAGCAACCCTACTTGCCCGGTAACAAAGCAGTCTTTGCCGAAAGATTCTGAGTTGACACCAAATCACACATTAAGGAGGCTAATTCAATCATGGTGCACCACGAATGCTATAAATGATGTCGATCGAATTCCCACCCCAAAATCTCCTGTCAAGAAGAGCCAAATCCTTAGACTTATGAAGGATCTTGATGCAACTGATCATCACTTGTCTACAAAAGCATTAACGAGAATGGAAGCCCTGGCCAAAGAGGACGAAAGGAATAGGACTTGCATGGTGGAAGCTGGTGTGGCAAAAGCTATGGTTCTTTTCATCGTAAGATGTTTCAAAGAAGAAAAGACTACCGGTCTTGAAGAAGGTTTGAGAATTCTTTATCTTATTTGGAACCCATCACAAGAAACATTCAAGCTTCTTGTTAGGGAGAACCAAGATTTCATCGATTCATTGACATGGATCTTACGTTGTGAGATGCATAATCACGTAGCTGTGAAGACTCATGCAATGCTAGTATTGCAAAAAACAATGGAAATTGGATGTCAAAAGCTATTGGAGGGATTAAAGGTCGATTTCTTCAAAGATATCATCACAAGGGTGCTTAGGAAGAGAATCTCTAAACTTGGCATAAAGTCAGCCTTCCATGTTCTCACAGAAGTGTGTCCTTGGGGGAGAAACAGAATGAAAATTGTTGAAGCAAATGGTGTTTTCGAGCTCATTGAACTTGAACTAGAAAAACCAGAGAAGATAATCACAGAACTCATTTTTAATCTCTTGGCTCAATTATGCTCTTGTGCAGATGGCAGAGAACAGTTTCTAAAGCACGCGGGAAGCATTGCCATGCTCTCAAAAAGGGTCCTTAGGGTTTCTACAGCAACAGATGATCGAGCATTGCACATACTGGATTCAATCTCAAAATTTTCTGCTAGAGATGAAGCTGTTCTAGAGATGTTGAGGGTTGGTGCTGTGTCAAAACTTTGCATGGTTATCCAAGCAGACTGTGCTCCTTATTTGAAAAAGAAAGCAAGAGGGATCCTTAGGTTGCACTCTAATTTGTGGAACAATTCTCCTTGCATAGCTGTATATTTGTTAACCAGGTACCCTGGTAATTAATCCAATAATTTCTTCCTTTTTCAAATATTTTGTATAACAGATAATACACTTACCGTCAAGATTGGAAAAAAGGGCCGATGAGCAGTACATGTATTTTTTTTTACCGAAATTTCTCAGATTCGAGCAATATGTTATTTATGAAAGGGTAAATAGCTTAGTTTTTTTATATATATATATATAATAGTCTGAATTTTTAATTTATCTTTGTATTTTTAATTATATGTATTATGTTTTTAAATAATGTTTAAGTTCGATCAATTTTTTCAACTATGAGATAAAATTTTTTAATGAATACTTTTTACTGAAATTTCAAAAAAAAAACTTATTTTTTTATTTCAATCAAAGACATTTTGATCCAAAAATTTATTCGTAACTGAAAAAATTGATTGAAATAATAGATTTGAGATTTAAACATTATTTAAAGACATGGAAAATACAATTAAAAATATAGGCATAAATTGAAAATTCAAACTATTATTTAAGAATATATTCAATTATTTACTTTTCATAAATAAATAAATAAAAGGAAACCATTCAAACATAATCATCCACTTGTGTGTATATTCGAACCTCAATCATGAAGAGTTTTTGCTTTTGGATCATATCCTTGTACATTTTCATTTGTACTTCTATTTTTTTTTTTTTTTAATTCTATCCAGTTCTAATAGTGTTTTTCTTTTGCCGCTGCTATCAATTGAGGTGGTACTAGTCATATAACAATATACAAAATAATAATAATAATAATAATAACAATAATATTTTTTATCATCAGCCATCAATGAAAATAATGATAATAACAGTAGAAACAATTAATACATAATAAATAAAAATAATATATTATTATTTAAAAAAAATTACATTCTTATTATTATTTTTTTATTCTCACTTTCAAAATAGCATATGCTTACTCAAATTAGATGACTACTAATTCCAAATTGCACTATTATATGTAAATAAATAATATATTACTATTTTTACGTCATCTTATACATAACCACTGCCCATTGAGGTGGTGGAACTTTTTACGTCATCTATTATATGTTCTCACCTGCACACCGACCATCATTGCAAACATGGGAAAAATGGAACGCTGCCGGTCTGCCTACATGAATGTGCGAAGAATATCTAGGATGATACAGGGGATGTATTAATTAAGAAATTAAAATAATGTAAGACAGACGACAGGCATGATTTGGATTTAAACTTCGAAGAATACATGAAGGTATGACGGTGCAAAATCTGTGTTTGAAAGGGTCCAGGGACAACAACCTTTATCTGCCACGTACGATGATTGGTCAAAATTGTCTCGGTTGGCTGCAATCTTGTTTTTCAACAAAAGAATTTTTTTTTAAAGAATATTTTTGAAGAAAGGATTAGATTCAAGGTAAATAATCTAGTTGCCAGCCAGGCCGGCTCAATGACTTTAAATATTAGCAGTTATGTGGAGACAAAGTTTGTTAGTTATACCCTTCAATAACTTGTCAACAAATAACCAATTTATGGAGTGATTGGTTTATTACAGGAGGTACGTACTATTTTGAATTTGGATTTGAAGTTTTAAAGGTGTGGAAATATTTGAAGAGCTATTATTATTATTATTATTATATGGAGTCTCTTTGTGTAATATGAAGTTTTATCTTGCTTTTCTATGTTATGGTTAGGGTTGACCCTGAAGTTGGAGTAATGGCAGTAAATCTTGACTTCAATAAATATAGCTTGTCACCGTGATCCATATTGTCATTGATTTATTATCCTTTAAAAGTATACGGCCGATGAAAATGTGGAAAATAAATTCACGTGTAATTCATGCATATAAACCAGTGATTGTATGAAAAGAATTGTATTCCCTGTTTCATTTTTATTTTTTATTTTGTATGCTCTCTTGTGTATATTTTCTTACTGTATCCTTAACGTGCTATTAATTTGTACAAGAAGAAATTAAGTTCTTGGACCTTAATTATTGTGTATATCCTGATGCCAAGAGCTAGCCATTATGTAGATGGTCGGATTTTAGAGCAGTATGCATCTAGCTAGGGAACTATCCCATGTTGAACAAGGGACGATCGATGATCTACGTGCAAGAGGAGAACAATATGTCACAAACACAAGAGGGTAATGATTTAGGTTTTAGTTTCTAATTAATGGACATTATATCTTCATAACAACTTTTGTAAAAAGATTTTAGATAAATCAATATTAATTATATTCCAAATAGTATATTTATATGATTTTTTTATATAGTCTTTTTCTTAAAACATATTACATAGTAAATCAAATCCACTTACTATATATTTAAACGAATACATCAAGGATGGAATATTAGATCAGTACCCATTGCAAAATTTGAAGAAGATATGGTGATAAATTCCTCCTATCTTTATATATACTACTAATACAATTTAAGGTGAAGACTCCTAAAGTGAAAACTTCAAAATCAAAACACATGAACGTCATTTTGATACAATATTTTCTCCATCCAAAGGTGGGTGTGTATATAGTTAACCAAGTTATGATGTTTACCAAACGAACTTGAAAGTTTCAAATTGGAACCATTCATTATATGAGAGAGGCTAAGAGGGTTAAAAGAATTAATGTATCTCAAAAGGTACGGACGCAATGGATTTAAAAGTTAAAACTATCAATAAAAGAAATTTAAAAATTATATTTTCTCATTGCATCTGAATGTTAATTGCTCAAATTTATTCTTTTGAACTTGGTTTGCTTTGATGCGTCTACATGTCTTGTTTTGTAAAATTAAGATAGGAAACTATTTAATTTATCTCTTCTCATATGCATTAAATTAATATTCATTCTATGTATGTTATTGATCTCTCCGGTCTAACTATAGATAGCATTATTCAAATGTGCTTTCTTTCGGTCACTCTCTGAGTCATGAAGATAGAGACATACATACGACTTCCATAAACAATCCTTCCATTTACCGTTGAATATTGACTCTTGATATATATATATATATTCATTCATTTTTTATAGCTGCCCAATTAAATTTCATATTTACAACAAATAGAAATTTCATGTTGACCCAATTACTGCTCATTTCTCTTTCTGTTTCTACGAATAGTTAATGCAGTATAGCTTAAGTACTACGAAAAAATAAGTTTTAGTGACCCTTTTTTCACGAAAACATCATTATTTTCTTCTCAAAATTGAATATTTAGCAACGTTAAAGAAATTTAAAAATTATATTTTCTCATTGCATCTGAATGTTAATTGCTCAAATTTATTCTCTTGAACTTTGGTTTGCTTTGATGTGTCTACATGTCTTGTTTGTAAAATTAAATAGGAAACTATTTAATTTATCTCTTCTAATATGCATTAAATTAATATTTATTCTATGTATGTTATTGATCTCTTCGGTCTAGCAATGGATAGCATTATTCAAATGTACTTTCTTTCGGTCACTCTCTGAATCATGAAGATACAGACATACGTACGACTTCCAATACACAATTCACGTCCTTCCATTTACTGTTGAATATTGACTCCTGATATATATATATATATATATATATTCATTTTTGATAGCTGCCCAATTAAATTAAATTTCATATTTACAACAAATAGAATTTCCATGTTGACCCAATTACTGCTCATTTCTCTCTCCATTTCTATGAATAGTTTAATGCAATATAGCTCAACTACTATCGAAAAAATAGATTTTAGTGACGATTTTAATAAATCTATCATTATTCCCTTCTCGAATTAGATATTTAGCGATGTTTTATAAACCGTCACTAATTTGATCACCTATGATTTTTTTTAGCATTAGTTTTAAACAAATTATCGTTAAGAAGATAAATGCTTTTGGAATATCGAGGGTTTACCAAAACCCTACCGAAAAAATATAGCTCAACCACTACTGAAAAAATAGGTTTTAGCGATGATTTTAATAAATCTTTCACTATTCCCTTCTCAAAATTAGATATTTAGCGATGTTTTATAAACCGTCACTAATTTGGTCATCTATGATCCGTTTTAGCATCGATTTTAAACAAATTGTCGCTAAGAAGATAAATGTTTTTGGAATTAGCGAGGGTTTACCTAAACCATCACTAATTAAAAAAAATATATGATTTTTTTGCAACGATTTGTTTAAAATCGTAACCAAAAACCCTTTCTTATGAGTGGTTTTAGCAATATAGCTCAACTACTACCGAAAAAATAGATTTTAGTGACGATTTTAATAAATCTATCATTATTCCCTTCTCGTAATTAGATATTTAGCGATGTTTTATAAACCGTCACTAATTTGATCACCTATGATTTTTTTTAGCATTAGTTTTAAACAAATCATCATTAAGAAGATAAATGCTTTTGGAATAGCGAGGGTTTACCTAAACCCTACCGAAAAAATATAGCTCAACCACTACTGAAAAAATAGGTTTTAGCGACGATTTTAATAAATCCGTCACTATTCCCTTCTCAAAATTAGATATTTAGCAATGTTTTATAAACCGTCACTAATTTGGTCATCTATGATATGTTTTAGCATCAGCTTTAAACAAATTGTCGCTAAGAAGATAAATGTTTTTGGAATTAGCAAGGGTTTACCTAAACCATCACTAATTAAAATAAAATATGATTTTTTTGCAACGATTTGTTTAAAATCGTAACCAAAAACCCTTTCTTATGAGTGGTTTTAGCTACGGTTATTGAAAGCCTTCATTAAATCCATAAAGCCGATAAGTTAATGGAAAAAGAAAATTTAGTGATCGTCGCTAAATGAAGAAATTAGCGATCGTTAATTTGTTACCATTGGAGGAAAAATGAGCAAATTTGAATAAAAAAATGTTTTTAACGATGGTTTTAAACCATCGATAAAAACTTAAATCCCTAAAAACTACCGTCTAAGAATTTTTCACCATTTCTTCTTTCTTTCTCTTCTTCTTCTTCTTCTTCCAATAGTGGTTGCAGCTCCGCACCCATTTCCCCTTCATTAATGGCCGGAACTCCCTCCAAAGCTCCCATTTTCTCTCGCT